ACTGGCACACATGAGGACCGACCCAGGAAAGGAAGACCAAGAGTCACCTCTGCTTCTGAGGATAAGTTCATCCGAGTCACCAGCCTCAGAAATGGCAAGTTAACAGCAGCTCAGATCAGAGACCAGATGAATGCCACACAGAGTTCTAGCAGCAGACCCATCTCTAGAACAACTGTTAAGAGGAGACTGCGCCAATCAGGCCTTCATGGTCAAATAGCTGCTAGGAAACCACTGCTAAGGAGAGGCAACAAGCAGAAGAGATTTGTTTGGGCCAAGAAACACAAGGAATGGACATTAGACCAGTGGAAATCTGTGCTTTGGTCTGATGAGTCCAAATTTGAGATCTTTGGTTCCAACCGCCGTGTCTTTGTGAGACGCAGAAAAGGTGAACGGATGGATTCCACATGCCTGGTTCCCACTGTGAAGCATGGAGGAGGAGGTGTGATGGTGTGGGGGTGTTTTGCTGGTGACACTGTTGGGGATTTATTCAAAATTGAAGGCACACTGAACCAGCATGGCTACCACAGCATCCTGCAGCGACATGCCATCCCATCCGGTTTGCGTTTAGTTGGACCATCATTTATTTTTCAACAGGACAATGACCCCAAACACACCTCCAGGCTGTGTAAGGGCTATTTGACCAAGAAGGAGAGTGATGGAGTGCTGCGGCAGATGACCTGGCCTCCACAGTCACCGGACCTGAACCCAATCTAGATGGTTTGGGGTGAGCTGGACCGCAGAGTGAAGGCAAAGGGGCCAACAAGTGCTAAACACCTCTGGGAACTCCTTCAAGACTGTTGGAAAACCATTTCAGGTGACTACCTCTTGAAGGTCATCGAGAGAATGCCAAGAGTGTGCAAAGCAGTTATCAGAGCAAAGGGTGGCTATTTTGAAGAAACAAGAATATAAAACATGTTTTCAGTTATTTCACCTTTTTTTGTTAAGTACATAACTCCACATGTGTTCATTCATAGTTTTGATGCCTTCAGTGAGAATCTACAATGTAAATAGTCATGAAAATAAAGAAAACGCATTGAATGAGAAGGTGTGTCCAAACTTTTGGCCTGTACTGTATGTGCACTCATAATTTGCCAATCTATTTTAAGAGTTTATTATTAATCTGTGAATTAAAGGAGAATAATTTATTAATCATAATATTATTGGGTAAAAAGTTGTAAATGCTTACAAAAACACTTAAACTGCTCCTTTATTATGACCCTAAATCCAAACTCTGTGCCACTGGTTGCATCTAGAGTTTATTTGGGAGGTGGCGGCAGCTTCAGCTGGATCATTCAGCGTTAAATGAATGTTTGTAAACTAATGTTGCCCTGGCAACTGCCTCTGTGCCTATCATAATCCTCAGAAAGGACATGGTTCAGATTACGTCCATCTCATCCAGACCATGGACACACACATTAACATTTACACTCTGTCTCTTCCCGACATCGTGAGCTCCCCAGTGACTGTCGCAGAGGTTTATATCCACTCATTTGACCTCATGTGGCCCACAGAGCCATCGCTTACACAGAATCAGCTTTGATTATTTGTTGCACAACATTGATCTTAATACACTCTTCATCAGTCCAGCCAATTCCATCTGGCACCTATGATATCAAATCTGTTTAACTCTGAGAGGCTTTTACGTTGAAATCTGCTTTGTAGCTGTGTTATATAAATGCAATATTTATGTTATTAGTGTTGACTGTTTTTGATGCATTAGGGAAAGTACACCCTTGAGTGCTCTACAAAAATGTCATGAATATAAATCGATCTAATCTCACCTTTCTCAAACACACACACAGACAGAGAGGAGCAGGCCTGTTCAGTCACAGCAGGTGTACTAGACATTATTCTACAACATGTACAACACTTGAGACAATACTAGTTTGGAAATTCCTCTAACAAAGCCAAGAAATTCAATACTGAAACCCTAAATTTGTACATAAATCGTAAAGATATACCAGGCCAACACATTCTCACTCTGACCTTGTCACATATTGATGTTTGGTCATGGACTCTCCATGTCCTCATGCGTCGTGCAAGGTACCCTGAGTGCATTGGTTGTTGACGCTCTGGGACACCGTGTCAAGCTCTGCCTTTTACATGCATTGTGACTTGACTTTTTTTTTTTCTTCGACATCAAACACACATGTCTAAGTTTAGGAAAAAAAGAACAGGCTGCAAGTCTGTGTTTCTTGGACCCATCCAATACCTCTCACCCACCACAGTCGGACTTTCAACGCTTTAACTTTCGTCCCTGTCCCGCTGCATCTCATGCCGACGTTAAATGACGCCTTTTTTCCTTGGTTTCTGATGCTGCAAGTCACTGCCCAAGCTCTGGATTTCAACGACTTCAGAGTAAGACCGGGCTCACCAAGGGGGACTTTCCCAAAAAAACAATGTATAGACTACAGAAGTATCTGCTCTCAATCATCACAGCTAGCTACTAGCATCTCTAAGACTGACATCTACACTGCCCCCTGCCTTGTTGCAGAGGGTTATGGCAGGAGTAGCAACTCCGCTGAAGGAACAACTGCTCCTGGCTAAGAAAAAGTTTGGCACATATCCCCCTGTAACACCGTAATGTTTAGTTTTACACCTTGTTTTGTTTTGTACAGATTAAAGAAACAGGTGCTGGTAGGTGGATTTTGTTACCTCTGGGCAGAACCTGCTGGCTGTGTCCCCCTGAGTCCACTCTTTAATGCTAAGCTAAGCTAATTGGCTGCTCATAGTAGCTTCATATTTACAGTGCAGATATGACACCTAACTCTTAGCAAGTAAGAAAATTAGCATATTTCCCAAAATGTTTAGCTATTGCTTTAAAAAGAACAGTCTTTCCACGTGATGACATCATGGTTCAGTGACATTATGGTTCAGCTCCACCACAGCAGCAGCAGTCACTCAGTCAGTCAGGGTCACTGTAACATGTGAAGTGTGGTGTAGAAAGTGATGACTTGGAGAAAGATCCAGTATCTATAATGTATGAACACAGCCAGGAGTAAACAGCAGAACTGCTGCACATAAACACTGCTTTCTGCTCAGTCTTAGATATACCTGATAAATCATTTAATGCAGTCTTAACAGACTTTCTCCATAAGCGGTTGTTGTTGCTTTATTCATCAATACATTTAATATAACTGTTGGGGCTTTATATGACAGGTACAATAGAGTCAAGCAGTAAAGGCTGCAGTTTGGTGCCTCAGGCTGTTAAGCACCACGGCGCCCCTGTGCTTCACTCTTTAATAAAAAGGTTTGTTTGTGCGTCCTGAACGCCCCCTAAAGCCTCTGTGTTCATGCACCTGTTCACTGTTTGGTTAACCTGCTGCTGAATGGATATCACACCGGCTATTGTGCCGGCTACAACGATCAGTCATTAAATAAGCCTCCATCTGTATAACATCTGTCCACGTTCAATACAGAGGTTTAGAAACATCCTGCAAACTGAATGGTAACAGCACTGCGCCCATCTGAAGTTATTTTTACACATTTATTTTTAAAGGAAAAGACTATTTTGGGAAGTGTCACAAGAAAGACAGCACCAAGTGTGTGTGTGTGTGTGTGTGTGTGTGTGTGTGTGTGTGTGAGGGAGAGAGTGATATACACTGAGACGCTCACTGATCTCTAAAGAGACGTGTCTTTGTAAGCACTCATGAGGAAAATAAAACACTGTGCAGTCTGACAAACAGAGGAGCCTCGCTGATCTAATTAGACCGTAAAGACAGACGCTGACATGTGTAATATTAGATAATAAGAAACCGATAAGATGTGACTTGCGGTTGTAATATGAAGTTGTTTTCATGTTTTTGTGAAGCACATTGAGCTTTTGTTTTTTCTTTCATTAGAGGGAGAGCATCAGTGCAATATCAGCTATCACCACTGTGCAGTTGGTTGTTTGTGCTTCACTTTTAGAGCATCTCATGAAAAGAAACATGTCGATATGTACAGTATGACCAACACTAACATCATGGATTTGTTAATTAGAGTCGCCACTAATGTCTGTTCTCATCATCGATCAATCTGTTGAATATTTTTGACAACATAGTAATCATTTAATCCCTTCAATATGTCGACCACAGTTTTCCTAGAAGCCAAAGATATTCAACCTACAATGAAAAAAGGAAGTAAATTTTCAGATTTTAGAAGATAAAACAAGAAATTCTTTGGCTTTTCTTGATAAATGTCTTCAACACTTTACTGATTTTCAGAATGTCTGCCAACTAATTGATTAATCAACTATTCATGTCAGCATTAACATGATCAAACATCAGTATGGAGAATGCAAAACATGTTTTCAAACTAATGTTATACCTATTATTTTATAGCTCTACTGCTATTTCTGGTCCATTCCTTTGCTCCACGTACAGACTGCAGTCATTTAACTGATGTGACTGATGTCATGCAAACATACAGCCATGTGGACATGTTTGCTTTACATCCAGTATTTATATTTAGAAGCATATCACTGCAACATCTTTTACAACAGACCACCCCTCATATTTCATATATTTCACAAAGCCTCTTGTGTCTTTATTTTCCTGTTGACTTGACCTGCATGATGCTGAGCCCATGATGACCCCTGCGTGATGCAACCAGGCTGTTTTTTTTTTAAAAAAAAAAAAATATTAGTAGGCTACATATTCTTTTACAATAGCAGACGAGAGAGCAATGATGCAAAGTTCATCCAAAAATGATTCACTAAGTTGTGATAATGAGGCTGCTTGATTGTCACATTGCAGACAGATGATGAAACCGGATTGTGGTGTATTAAACACTACTTTAGTGCTGTTTTAAATTTTCTTTTTGACAGAGCTAAGATCTTAAAAGGCACTGTACTTCTTTAAAATTACCATGAGTCGTCTACTGTAAAAACAAACCAAAGCAAACTTTGATGAGCACACAGTCACAGGAAATCTCAGCCAGGTCAGCAAACAGCAGCAAATCCAGCAATTGTTCCCATATTTTAAAAAGAAAGGAAAAGACAATGACAAAGACTGATGTACCTGTAAGTGGGTCGTAAGATCTGTCCAGCTCTCTGGAGTCAGACAAACTCTGGTCCTGACTCCTGGATTTCATGTTTGTCTCGGGTCTCACCGCTGAACCTGCAAGATCTGTGCGCGCGTCGGAGCCGCAGCTCGTCTACGACTTCACTCCTGTTTGCATTTCACTTTTCTGCAAGCATCAGCCGGTGTGTGCTGCAAACTGGTCGAAGATAGAGGGAGGACAAAAAGGGTAAAAGTCCGTGGAAAAGCTCGTGTCTCTTTATCCAAACTCTCCTCCTCCTCCTGCTCAGCACCAGCGCGCGCTCACATCCACAGTTTGCGCTTCACGGTCACTTGGAGAGGCTGTGTGAGTTAAAGGTTGTTGATCAGCAGCAGAAAGCTGATGACTTCACTTTGCTGATCCAAAGATCCAAACAAATGACAAAGAGTCCGCCTGTCAGCTGCATCTGTATGTGTCCGAGCTGAGAGAGGAGACACAGCTGAGAGGAGAGAGGAAGAGGAGTGATGAAGCAAGAGAGAGGCAGTGCCACAGACAGACAGACAGACAGACAGACAGAGGGATGTGGGAGTGTATATATCAGCTGATCTGTGCTCCACTGATGGATGGGCTCACCTTGGCTCGGGACTTGAGCAGCTTTGAAGAAGTAATACGTGCGGATCAATATTCTGTCAGCTGCGCGTCCTTGAGAGTTAACGAATGACTCACTCATATTTCACATAAATGAATGCACCAAGGTCACGATTTCCACAAATTATTATTTAAATATTAAAGCCATAAATACGCGTGATAAGCTGAGTGGAGACGGAGGAGGCCACAAGCTGATTTATGGGATAAACTTCCAGATTTCCACAGCTTTGTTTCCCATCACAAACTTGTGTTTTAAAGCCTCTAACATGTAAGACTTTGAGCCTCTCAGGGACATCATCAAGATTTAGAGAAAGGGTGTAATTAAGTAGTTTTTTCATGTAGCCTATATTTCTTTTACATACATTTAAAAATTTGTGCTTTATTGTGTTCCTCCAACGTTTTGTAAAATATGTCATGGTAATTTGGACAGACATGTCCTTTCAAGATTAAATCTCTTGATCTATCTCACAATGCCTCAGGATCCAAAATACAAATAAATGATCAGTAAACAGTAATGCACTGGCTGGTTTCTTGGTTGGACATAGACTAGGCTACTCATGTTAAAATTCTCACAGTCCAACATATTGTCCCTTCAACCTTGTGACATATCGACATTTGGCAATGGACTTTTCATGCTGACATATGATGTGCAAGGTACCCTGGGTGTGTCTGTTGTTGACGTTCTGGGACGGGGTGTCAGCTTCACCCTGTTACATGCATTGTGTCTTTTCAAAACACACTTCCATTTTCACAGGAAATGTACAGTTTGTATCGTCTCTTTCAAAATAAACGCACTACGTCAGTACATCACATGAATTGATATTTTTTTCCTCAACAACAAACATGGTTACATTCAGCCAATATACGCACAGGCAACAAAACCACCTGGTTAAGTTTAGGTTTAGGAAATACCAGGGTTTGGCTTTACATTGTTACGGAGAGTGAACACTCGCCTCCCAGGGTGAAAGTCAGTGGTTGCTGGACCTATCCACCACCACTCTTACCCACCCTACTTGGACTTTTCGCCCCCTTGACTTAGGTTGTTTTCCGGTAACGACGACAGGCCATCTATCATGCCAATGTGAAAGGACAGCTTTTTTCATCGATGTAGGTCACTGACCAAGCACCAGCATTCAACGACTTTGGGGTGAGACTGGGTAACACAGTCAGAATGCCAGATTAGCCCAAAGAGCTACTTCAGAACTGAGCACCTCTAGGTCTTCTCTCCGATGTAGCAATCACTGTTTTAAAATGATCAAGATTGCCTTTTTACCTAAAGTTCAATACTTTTTTTGCTAAGAAAATGTGTTTTTAGTAAAAATGAAAAACCCACGAGAACCACAAGCTAAAATAACATGAATACTGGATGCACTCAAGCAATTTACTGTTGCTCTTCCATAAAGTTAAGGGACTTATTACGAGAGACAGCTATGCTAGCAGCTTGTGAGGCTGAGACAGACATGCTTTAAGTTAAATGCTAATGTCAGCATGCTATCACACTGATGATCCAACACAATCTCACAGAAATCTGTAATATATAATGGACACAACCTTTTAACAACACTCTTAACAAAGCATTTCATGGTGGAGGGCACAAAATGTGATAAAATTATGTGCTGACAAAACACAAACAAAGCCAATGCAAAGTCTCATGCATGGTCACAGTTTCATTGTGAAACAGTTGCAGTTTGGATGGTTTCAAGAAACAAAAAGATACTTGGTTAAGATGAGTAAATAATCAGGGTTTCGGTTAAAATAACTATATACGGAAAGTAAGTGACATAAACGTACTTTATGTAAAGTACCTAAAGAAAGTTGGCCTTCTTTACGTAGTTATGTAAAGTATGTAAAGTCATGTAACTACGTTGACACGAAGAGTGGTCTATGGTCACTATGTAGAATTTCTCGCTCTTTATACTTAATTTGAATGTCTACTACAACAATAATTCCTCACTGACTTTGCATTGGCACTGTTTTTGTGTTGCCAACATGTAATTTCCATACATTTCACCACCATGTATTGTGTTGTTAAGACTTTGTGGCCATTTAATATATTTCTGCCTGGACGTTCAGAAGATTTGTTTGCCATGTTCATTATCTTAATTTAGCATGCTGACATTCTCTAATTATTAATAAATTAAAGCACAGCTGAGGCTGATGGGAATTTCCAATTATGTTGTCAGAAATCAAAGTGTTCTACAGATGAAATATTTGACCTGATGATGACACTAGATGAGTTAAGGGATAATCAAAAGGATTACAGTTCATCCTGAGGATGACTCAACCATCTAAACAAAATGTCATGGTGATCCGTTAAATAGTTTTTGAGACATTTATACCCAAAACCACAAAAATCAACCCCATGGCAGCACTAGAGGAAAAGTCTCTATGAAGAGACCATGAATATTTAGACCAAATTTCATGAATATTCATCTTAGACCAAAGTGGTGGATCGATTTTCCATCCGCAGAGCCATATTGCCAGAATGGCTAAACACCAGAACACACTTTGTGTTCAAACCTCTCCAAACCAAACCTGAGATTACATTTAAAATTGGTGTATTACCTCTTTAAATTCCACTTCAAAATCCAGCCTAAACCTGTGTGTTGCTCAGCTATTTCAAAGAACAAAATACTCGGGCAGATTATCTATAAAACCAACAATAAACAGTGTTATTGTGTGCTAGTGTTTAAAGTTAACTCTGAAAGTATCACATAGAAAAATGTAACTGGAATAGAAGAGAACTCCTCTTGCCAAGAATAGTACTTGTTGGGGATAAACAGCATGGTGAAGCTTCCTTAAAGACAGGCAGGCGGGTGAGGGATTATTATGTCCCCCGTCAGAAGACTGATGGGAGGGGAGAAAATATCTATCAGCTGCTCAGGGAGAGAATGGCACAAAGAAAAAGGAAAGGCAAGGGAGGACACAAAAAGGCCTGTTGAAGTAGAGAGAATCAAAGAGAGGGATGGCGGTGCTTCGGAGAGAGAAAGAGAAGCAAAGGGAAAGAGAAAGAGAAGACAGTGGAGATGTATTTGAATATATCATGTGCCTTGGGACAGTTAAATCTCGCAGTATTGATGGTGTTTATCTCCCACAGGGGTTTACAGAGAAGTTTAGCATTGCTGCAGGCTGGAAAGTGGAGCTGACAGATAACCAATAATGAGCTCTGATTGATGCCTCAAGTTATGCACAGTGTGGAGTGGTGATACAGGTGACGAATAACACACACACTGATATGGATACAGTAGAAGCGCACATAAACAGGTGTGCTGGCTGTTTGGTGCTAAACACAAGATGATATTCAGTAAAAGACATAAAAATAGTGCCACATGTCCTCAGGAGGTGTGTTTCTGCTTATGTGTACGGCTGGAAGGAAGCAGTTTGAGCTGATTCAGTTTCTCCGCGGACACAGATACAGGTGAGGACTCACAGATAAAGAAATGAAGGGGTGAGGGGATGACGGAGGGAGGGGTGAGGGGGGTGAGGGCGAGACAAAGCAGGCAATCTCCCCACAAATGAATATTTGATGAGAAGGCTGATATGCTTAAATTAAACGTTATAAATACACAGCAGCGTTAATGGGTTGTCACAGAAAAACGCAAGGGGTTTGCTCTGTCTGAGCATCTAAGCTGTCAGCAGCTCACACACACACACACACACACACACACACACACACACACACACACGGCACAGATTATATCAGGGAGTTGATATACTGCCCAATCCACAATATAGCCAACAAAATTAGAGGATTTGGAATAGAGTCATGTCGAGGGATTGAGATTCACCATATTAAAAAGACATTGCACAAAATGATCTCAGGAAACCGTAAACACACTCAGAGTCCACTTTCCATGCCACAGCGTTATTCCCAAAAGCACATTATCATCTCTGGAAATGGATCTCTGCACTGACATGATGCTTGCGTGTCCATTAGAGGCTTATCAGTGCAATTTTCTCCCACACTTTTAATTAAGCATGCCAGAGATAGAGAAATACAAAAGCAAAGACAGAGAGAAAAGAGAGGGAAAGGGGAACAAAGTGAGGGTGTAATCATGAAAGTTTAGGGTCCCTCTGCTGCTGCATTAAAGGCTCTGCATGTCGTAACCCATCAACTACGAATTAATGAGCGTGTGCTTTTACTGTGAAACTTATAGTACTGCAGTCACGAGGAGAGGCTTCTGTGGGGATGGTTTCTAGTTGGTGCATTCAAGTGCTTAAGGGTCGTCTGCTGAACAGTAAAGTTTTACTGATAGGCACTCATATAGTCACACAGCTAGAACCAGGCAAAGTGGAGGTGGAATGGTCAGGGAAATATATTACTTTTAATCTAAGAAAAGGAAAAATGTCTGAGTATGGCCTCTTATACACATCTGTCATCCATCTGAGCAAACACCTGATGGACCAATCAGGTGTGTACATCTCACAGAGGTTTGTAGTTAATA